TTGTTCATGTATCTAGTTTAACTTTTCTTTGCGTAATTGTTCAATACTTTTAATAGCTTGATTTAATATTGGACCAGCTAGTTACTTTCGATTTGACAACTTTAACTTCAGATTTAACCAATGAAAAAGAGCATATGTTGAAGAATTATTAACCCATTGAAACGACCAGCTATTAGATACTGTCATTCTAATTAAAAGATCATGGAATTTAGGAGTTTTGGATTTATTGAGATCACATACAGCATGATTGATCATTGATAATAAGATTCAGATGACCAGTGACTTAAATTAAATGATAAATACGTAAAATTTGTACGAAAACTTGAAATAGATGCACTATCATCTGTAAATACAATCAAATAATTAATTAATAAACATATTTTTTAAAAATCTTAAAAAAAAATACATATGCTTACCATCAATACGTATATGTTTAGATGGTGGCATTTCTTCATCAATATCACAATTTCCAAGTATTTTCTTTGCTTCTTCTTTATATTTGTTCCAAAAATATTCACAATTTGTTAAATGCTTTTTAATTCTCTCTTTTCTATATACTATAGGTTTGGCATCATCTTTTAAAACCTAAGGTTGCCTGCCGAAACTAAAAAGGAAATTCCGAAAGGTTTCGGCCAATCAAATCAAATGCCGAAAATGCCGAAATTAGGCCGAAACTCGGTCTTAATTTTGGCCAAAATTAAAATTCGGCCGAAATTATGATATTGTGTCACGTGACGTTACACAAATTTCCAAAAAAGGAAATCTTGTTTCCCAGTAAAATCGGAGAAATGTGTCACACAAATGTTACACAAATTTCCATAAAAGGAAATTTACACGTCGATCATTATTCCGGCCAGAACTATAGTATTAATGTTGGCCAATAATTTCGGCCAAATTTTGGCCTTTCGGTAAAATTTTCGGCATTGTATAATTTCGGCAAATTTACTTTTAATTGCCTAAACTTTCGGTTTTAAAAAAGTTTCGGCCTTGGCCTAAACTACTTGATTTCAGCAAGCAACCTTATTAAAACCTCAGCACAACAATTACAAATACATTGACGGTCCTTGTCTCCTGAATTAGTTTTTTTCAAAATTGTTACATATGTAGAAAGAACATGTCTAGGTCGACCTCCACATGGCATAAGTTAAAATATTATTAAGTTTAAACTTTAAAGTGTAAATGTAGTAAGGTTATAACTTATAAGCAGAGTATAAAGAAAAAAATATTACGAAGTTATAAAAAAAAGATAATCTTAGTCTTATTAAATATAGGTTTTAGACAGTTTTGGACAGTTTTAGACAGTCCAAAACCCATAAAACTTTTGGATAGTTTTGGACTGTCCAAAACTGTCCAATTTAAAAAACCAATTGGACAAGTCTAAAACCCAACACTGATTTAATTACCATTAGACTCGTCATTATGAGACGATTCTAACAAGCTATAGTGCATTTTTCTACAATCGTTGGATGCCAAGTTATTGAGTGAAACGTCAAATGGCGTAGTATCACAAAATACTAAATGCCAATTTTTGACATTTTGCTCAATATCTCAACATCTAGTAATCGTAAAAAGATGATCTAACTACCATTTGACTTGTCATTATAAGACGATTCCAATGAGTTATAATGCATCTTTCTACGATCATTGGATACTGAGTTATTACGTGAAATGTAATATTTTTAAATTTCGACAATTTTGACATGCTGAAACTCCCTAATTTTGGCAGGTAACTTTGGTCTTGAATCCAGGAACATCACAAATAAAAAGAAAATGAAAAGATAAAAAGAAATGAAAAAAAATAAAGTTTTTTTTTTTTAATACTAAATAAACCACTATGGGTTTTCTTGCTGTCAAAACTTTGCTTGAAGTATATAAAACAAATAAAAAGTGTATAAATGATAAGCGAAAAAGAAAAAAAAAATAAAATAAAATTTTTCAAAAAATATGGTCCAAACATTTAGCGGAAAGAGTTCTACCAAAAGTGTAGTATTATGATTTACTTTTTATATTAATTTTATATAATAAAAGTGAGTTGCAATATTGGAATTCACTTTTTTATATTGATTCTATATATAAAAAGTAATATTATATAAAATTAATATGAAAAGTAAATCTTAATATCATAATTTACTTTTATTGTATAAAATCAATATAAAAAAAATTAGTTGCAATATTGCGATTCATTTTTTTATATGATTTTAATATAAAAAGTGAATTGCAATATTTTAAAAAGAAATAATTTATTTATCGCACGTGCGATGCAAATTTTTATGTTTATCATTGCCATTTTAAGGGGAGTGGCGATGTATAAGCAGGTTGATCAACATAAATAATTTACAAAAAAGGAAAGTGGCGATGCATCGCACGTGCGATGAATAAATTTACTCTTTTAAAAAATAATGTTTTGCATCTTTTTTTTTTAATATTTTAATAAAAATCCTGATTACAGTTTAAGTCAGGTTAAATAAATAATCTGAAATAACTTGACCTAATCTGATCTGAAAAAAAATTTCAGGTCAGGTTTATCAATTAACTTATAACCTGTTCTGTCCCATTTAGAACTCTACTTAATGACTATTATTTAATCAAGTATAATACAAGTATTATAATATTATCATATATCATTTGTAAAGACTATTCTTATCAATTTGATATTTAATAAAATTTTAATCATTTTTATGATTATAAAAATCAAACTTATTAAAATTCAATATTAATAATATTATCATCATCTTTTTCATAATATTATCATTATAAATGTCATTTGACTTGAGTTTATTACTTTTATTTATAACAAATAAATTTAAATTTGATTGTTTTTAGAAAAAAAATTTCATCAAAAATATTTTGACTATTATTTTGCTCTATATAGTTAAAAATTTATTAAATAAATTAAGACATTAAAATTTATTACTAAAATAATATTTTTATCACTTTCATTGTCAAACATAGTATTATTTTCTTTAAAAATAGCAACTTCTTTAGATAGGGGTATACTGGCAATTTTATTCTTTTAGTTTAATCTAATATATTCTTTAGTAATAAGAAAGTGTATATATTCAAACTTATTAATTAAATCTTGAATTTTCTCTATATTTATTCTTTTCTATTTTTTATGCTTATTTCTTTAATTTTATTATAAAAATTTGTATTATTTAACAAAATTCACATTTTATTTAGCAGTTAAATATAATTTTAAAAAAACTTTATCTCAGATTAATACCATATATTTAATAGCTTTTTTAATATTAATTGAAAGTTTATTATTTCCTGTTATTTGTTAAAAGTTAAAAATTTTAATATAATTTTGAAGAAGCAATTTTAATATTGTACTTGTAAAATCAAATATTATAAATTAAAATTAGTATTCCAAAAAAAATGAGTTAGATTAGATTTTAAAATATATCCAAACTCAACTTAAATATAAAAATAATAACCTGAATTTAACTTAACTTAATTATAGTTTGATTCAAATAATTTAGGTTCAATCTATTAAGTTATATTTAATATAAAAAAAATTTAAATTTTTAATTAAAAATATAATAAAAAAATTTGAGTTGTTAGGTTAAAGTAAAGATATAACTTGACTTGATGGGTTAGATTAAATTCATATAGGTTATAGGTTATTAAATTATATGATTCTAATCTGACTTTTAAATATGAATTGAATCAATAATCTAAGTTTAACCTGACCTTTTCAGAATATTAGTTAAAATTTCTTAATTATTAAAATATATTAAAATTTTAGTACCTTAAAGCTATTTATAATATCCTTGTTATATAATTGTAATTTATAAGTGTACAATTGTATTAAAAAGCAAAAATTCAATTTTTAATTAGATTGAACTTTTTAATATCAGTTATATTACAGTGGTTTTCAAAAAAAATGCACCAAACTTTTTTAAAATTATTAATTGCTTTTATTAAATCAATTTAAATTCATTTAAAATAAAATTTAAAACTTAAATAATATATTATATAACTTACTAAAAAACATAAATTTTAATATAAATTTACTAATAATTATTTTTTTGCTTGTAAGATTTGATGATTCATATTTAACTTGATTTGACTTGATTTGATAATAACTTAATAAATTAAATCAATTTATTTTAGAGAACTAAAGAATATTTAACTTATATAAGAAATAATGTTAGAAGTGATTCTATATTTGAAATTTGAATCATGATATTCAGAATAGCAGATCAGAAAACTTTCTTAAAATTTATATTATTATTATTATATAATAATTAATCATCTATACATTTATCAGTATATAATAATATAACATACAACATTTATTAATGTCAATATTATTTAGTAAATAAAAAAGTTTAGAGCGAAGCAAAGCATAATAATTTTAATCCATATATTATCCTTTTCTTAATACTATCATAATGATTAATGATAATGACATCATCCTCTCTCTTTAAAGTCAATTTATTAATTTATTAAATTTTTGTAGATGAAATATTTATAAAGGTCACATGAAATTGTTGGATCAACTGATCAAATCTAGTGTAACTCGAATTAGTGTAACCGAATTCACATTATATGAACAATTTTCTAGATTCAATACTTAATATTCCTACTAGCATGCGAGCATGGATTCTGGAATAGAACACGTTTCAAACCTTATGGATAAATATATTTTATCTGGTTGGTAAGTTTTTTTTTTTTCTTATTTATTCGTTAGTATTTAGTTATATTTGCCTGCTCATACTTTTCTCACGTGAAATATTATCAGGTCCTGACCGATACAGTCTGTTCTACACCAAATTGCCATGTACTTAATTATTTAATATTATTTATATTTTCTTGTTAATAATTATTAATATAAATTCTTTAATTTAGGTTCCTTTATTTCGTTCTAAAGACAGTACAATATGGTTTTGCGTTTTGTGTGATAAAGAACCGGGGAAATTAAAATCACAAACAAAACAACCTAACATTTATCCACTTCCAACTATGATCAATGGAGCAGCCATCTTCACAATTTGATGAAGGATGATGAAAATGATGAGCTTCAACAATTAAAAATTCAACGTGATCAATCACAACGTACTTCACATTTAATTGGTCAAAATTTATTACGAGGAATGGGCTTTAATTGATCCTGTTACAGTGTAAGCTATACTTATATATATATATATACACTCATAATATGTTGTTATTTATAACATTATTAATATTATTGTTTTTGCGTTTGTTTTAGGTACCTTTGATTAATCCCGTGATAAAAGAAAATATTGTATCATTTGTCAAAATTATTATATAGATGAATCAGAATATTATTCTTCGAGACATAATTTGACGACATTACAAGTTGATTCTTCTTCAGCTATGAATGATACAATTAATGAAAAGAAGCATCAAATTGATGTTAAGGAGATTGAGGTATGATATTGTTTTCCCTTATTGATTAATAAAGATTAGAATACAAATAAATATATGATAATTAGAATTAAAATATGAATCTTTTGATGATTAAAAATATTAGTTCAACGCGAGTAAGCGACTAAAAAATGAATTTCATCAAAAAATATTATATTGTCTCTTTCTTCCTTTTAACTATATTCCTTGTTTTTCTTAATATTTCTCTTTTTCTTTTTTTTGTATACAACAATTCAGTCTATGATTCAACAACTTGGAAAAAAGTTCAGTTTTCATATAACAACACTAATAATATAACTTTGGAACAAAATGATAAACATCAGCAAGATGTGGTACGAAAATGTGTTTCGACTCTATCAACAAGACTTAAGGAATTAAGTATTCTATTGAAATACTTCAGATGTATCAGATATAAAAAATATTTGTAATACCATAGAGAGTTGTGCTCAAGCTTTAGAAGCAATTAAGTCATTGGAACATTCATAGAATTCAGAAATATTAAGATTGAAGAATAAAAGTAACAAAACAATGATGTAACTAATGGAATATTAATTAGTTAGAGTCAAGTCTTAAAAAAAATAGTTTTGTTTAAAATCAAATTCTTGTGTTAAAAGTGTAAAAAATTAAAATCTATAATTGCTGAAACAAAACAAATAGATTTATTGGATTTATTGGTTGAATGAATAAGTGCTAATAAGTAGAAATCAATTGATTAAATTTAATAAATTATACAAGTTGACGTGAAGTTATTTCACAACGTTGAGTTGTGCGATTTATTATATTATATAAAAGTTTTTAATATTTGGATAAAGAAAAAAGGAAAATGAAAGTAGAATAGGAAGACGAGGGTAAAATAAATGAGAAAGGGGAAAAAGGCTAGGGTTATTCACGTTTTTACGAATATATAGAGCAATTATTGAATTTCTATATTTCCTAGCTTAGTAAATCCTCACATAAATTAATAAAGTTAATATTTATTACAATCGTAATAAATAATGCATGTAAGAATTAGTATAATTAATTCAGTTTTTACCAATTTTTCTACAGAAATCCCATAATGATAACATCGAATTATTATAAAAAATATCAATCTCAATTATCCATGAAATTTTCCCATTATGCCCTGTTCCTGATATTTTATAATAATAATTTTCATAAACATCAAAAGGGATATAAAAATCCAAGGATTTCCTTTTGGCTTCTTCAATGATTGTCTATCCATTATTTAATTGACAATTTTCTAAATCAATTTGATGAATCACTACATAATGTTTTAAAAAACTCCTTGTGTATAATGATTTCTCATTAATTCTCTTATTCAATAACCAATTTTTTCAACATTCCTACATAATTGTGATAATCAATACATCTATTGATGGTGTATCGCGATGACGGAGCCTCTTCTGTTATTGAAATCTTGAAATTGATTGATATAGAAAAGACAGTATAGAATATGATTTACGATATAGTATCAAAATTAAAAGGTTTTGAAGTATTACTAATTATTAATTTTAAAATTTCTATTTCTTGTTCGATTAAATGATGATAAGTATCATCTTTTATACTATAAATTCTCCATATTTTTCATTTTAAGCGAACCATAATTAATTAAAGATTGAGATGGGATAATATTTCAATTTCATCTATTCCATTCATCCTTAAGAATTCTTTAAATTAAAAATCATTTAAATAATATTGAATATAATGAATCATCTAGTTGATATTCAGTAATTTATTTCGAAAACATAGTATAGCTACTTGAAACCATTTTCGATTTACTAACATGCATAACATGCATTGTTGAAGCTGCTGCTTCTAACTCTTCCAATGATAATACGATTGAAGTCATTTCTGCATTTTAAACACATTTTATATCGTGTTATTACGCGTTTTTGTCACTCGCTACGCATTATACTATATGTACTTAACATATTTATAACAATGTTTTACGATTATCATATATTTGAATTGTCTCCACTTTCAATAAATCTAAATCTTGCATATCATCTATAGCGGAAATCACAAAATCACGTGAATCGTTTCAGCATCTCATTACAGCCGACAAATATATTATCGCTCATTCTAGACCGATATTTTTGTTAAATGACAATAATATATGATTATGCATAATTGATATAATAAGGTGGAGTAAAAAAGAATGGTACAAATGAAAATCTTTATAGGAAAAGTCTAAATAAAGCTTATAAAAGTGGAAATTTATAGAAAGTTTAAATATAAGGCTTATTTATATCAAATGGTAACACTTTATGTGGGACTATATGTTCTATATCGGTCACAGGACCGAATGATTTGAAGTTTTGGATCGAACATTAATTTATAACAGCTTTGTTTAACTTTTATGTAGATTTCGTTTTTATGTTATTTTTAATCCACTTTTGTATAAGCTTTACTATAAAAATTTTCATTTACACCGTATTTTTTACTCCGCTCAATAATGCATAATCATGTATTATTGTTACTCTTGACAAAAATATCAGTCTATGAAAATCCGATAACGGATGAAATAAATGCTTACGAATACAATTTCTTTTTTTTGTATTTATAGGATCCTTTATCTGCTAATTAAAAAATATCAGCTTTCTTCTTGCCTTTACCATTTATTTAAAAAAAATAAATATTATTAAACGAGTTTTAAAATATAATATTATGTCGGAAGTAAGAAATATCTTATTAATCGGCCGCACTGGCAATGGCAAGTCTGCTCTTGCTAATGTAATTAGTGGAACAAACAAATTTAGGGAAATTGAAGATAGTGTTAGCGAAACAAAAGAATTAGAATTAGAAATGTTTGGGTATCAAGGAATCAAATACCGAGTAATTGATACAGTAGGAATTGGGGATACCAAACTAAAATCAAAAGATGTCTTAAACAAAGTAGCCAAAGCCTGCTACGAAGTAAGAGAAGGATTAAATCAAATTTTTTTAGTAATTGGAGGAAGAATTACCGAGGAAGAAATAGAAACTTACAATCTATTAAAGCAGGTTATTTTTAACGAAGATATTTATAATTATACCACTATTGTAAGAACACGCTTTACTGATTTTGAGGATGAAAGAAGGTGTGAAGAGGATAAAGAAAAAATTAGTCAAGAAAATGAGAAATTAACCGAATTAATTAGAGAATGTAATAAGTTAATTCATGTTGATAATCCACCAGTAAAAGGTCGTTCAGCCACCACTAATAAGGAAATTCGGGAAGTTTCTAGAGAAAGACTATTGAAACATTTAATCTATGATTGTGGCAATTATCATCCAATTAGTTTAGATAGATTAAATGAAAGAATTAGTAGTTATTTAACGGAAAAAGTACAAATAAAAAAAGAATTAGAGGATTTAAAAAAATTCCAAGTAGAGGAACAAATAAAAATGGAGGCGGAAAGGAAAAGGTATATATTAATTAATTCTACCTTATATAGATTATAAAGTAATTATAAAACTAAAGTTTTAATGTTTTATAAAAAAGTAGTCAATTATATTATACTATTTTATACTATTTATTAAAGGTAATTTTTACAAAACCTATCAGTAGTAATACTTAAATTATATTTAATAAATAATATTATAAATGTTAAGTGATTATTAAATAATTTTTTAATAATTATAAAATGACTGATTATATAAATTAATTTATAAAATTATTATAAATTTGTAATTTTGGCCATAATTATATTTTTAGTTTAAATTGAATTTGAATTATTTTAGATCCAAATTCAATTCAATCCTATTTGCACCAGCAAATATATTTCAATAATAACTCTAAGTATAACTGTATAATATTTGTAAAAAAAAAATCACTTTTTTTATAATAGTAGTATTAATTCTTAAATTTTTTTTTCTATTTGTTAATTTTTTCTTTTTGGTTAAAGTAAATAATTATCATAATAAAAATATAGTTTAAAGTAAAATAATTTTAACAGTTTATAATGTTCCCTTTATCTGATTCTAAATAATCTAAAGACTTGAACTTATATAATTGTTAGAAGAAATATGCAACAGTTATATTATTACAGTATCAATAGACTTTAACAAACAGGTTATAAAATTTTGAAATAATGGAGTTTGGACAGTTTTATTAGGAGAATTACTGGTTAGATAGTATTTTGCAAACTGAACTTTTAACAAAGAAAAAAGTGAGAAAGATTTCAAACTGTATCAATAAATATTCTTTCTAATTCTATTATCATTCTTATACTAAATTCTAACAATCCATCCTGTTATTTATTGCATTTGCTGATTGTAAAACATTTACATTATCTAAAAAAAGGAAAAAAGAAAACTAATTACATGTTACAAATTATAGGTAGCTATGGATAAGATTATTAATATGAATATTAGTTTAGACAAAAATTATATTAATGTTTGAAAAAGATGCTTTTCCCTAACTTAAACAAAGACTGTAATTGATCACCAAAAAGTAAATTGTAATAGAAGTAGAATCAAAATATAAATCTCAATATTTTGCAAAAATAAAACTACTAATAAAAAGGTGAATAAAAAGCATAAAAAGGTCAAGATGCCTAGAATTAATAAAGATAAGGTTTTGGATGACATTAACAAAGAAAAACTGGCCATTCTGATAAAAATTAAATCAATATTAAGGAAACTGCATTAATTCTAATGCTCAAAAGCATAGACTATTAAGTCTTTTAGAATGTATAGAAAGGCTTTATTATTAACTTTATTTTTCTTTTTTTTCTTTTTTATTGTTTTATTCTAAATTTTATTATTCTACTTCTTATGATTTTTTTTTTGGTTCTAAGATTTCATTTTGCAGTTACAGTAAATTTTGTGAAACATTTACTGGTGTTGACCAAATGGAAAAAATCTCTCTAAGAAAGGTTGCTTTACACAATTACCTTACTCTTCAAGTTAGAGTTTTCATCTAACAATGCATATATAAAATCTTCTCCATAAGATAATGAGTAGTTTAGTATTTAATAAATTAGGATATTATGTAATTGAAATAATGTATTTACCGCACCCTGCGTTACAAATTTATATATATTTTTATGTTTATTATTTGCCATTTTAAGGGGGGTGCAGTATATAAACTAAAGATCAACATAAACAATTTACAAAAAAGGAAGGATGCGTTATAACGCAGGGTGCGGTAAATAAATTCACTCTATGTAATTTATTCAGTATTTGTAATTTTCTATTTTTTTTATTTTAATAAAGTATTAAATATGCTGCAAGTAACAAAAAAAAAGTATAATAATTTCAGTTAACAAAAATTTTTAATTAATAAACATTTAATTATTTATAAAATTTTTTAAATTTTTATTAACAAATAAAAAAAAATAAATAAAATCTATAGATTAGTTAGTTGCTTCATCATTATTTTTTATTTCAGCTTCTTTACTTTGTCTTAGTTTTTCTGCATTAGCATTAGCTTTAGTTTTCCATTCTCCCCATTCCCTACGAGTAATAGGAAACCAATTTTCAGCACGAACCAATTCTTCAGTAACTAATTGATTATCAATTAATCTAATAATATTTTGTTTTAATTCATCTTTTAAAGAATCATTTTCTTTTTCCTCATTTTCTTCTTCTGAAGAATTGTCCTTTTCATTATTAAAAGTATATTTTTCTTTTGAAAAAAGAATCAAGTAAATAAATATATATATATATATAATAAAGTTAATAATGATTGACAAAATGGATAAAAAATATAAAAATTTTTTTTTAAAAAAAATAAAACAGGTAATGATATAATTAGCATTTAATTACCTTGCCCATCTTCAAAAATTTTTAAAGAGAATTGAGATGTAGTAGTCCAAACAGCAGAATAAAAATGATTTGGATTACTATAATTTAAATTGATATTTTTACAATGATCAATTTGGATAGTTTGTACCTGAGAATTTAACTATAAATTTATTTATTTAATAATTTTAAGTAAAAAATTAGAAATCATAAATTTAAATAATAAAAAAAAAATATACGTAATTTCTGCTTACACTAATATTGACATTATCGGATTTCCACACTTCGATAATAGAAGTAAGAATTTTATCATTTACAGTCAATTTCAAATTTTTACATTCCTCTAAAAAAAAGAGGGAAATTTATTTCAAAATAAATGATTTTATTTACTTATTTTTTTTTATTAAGAAAAAAAGGACTTTACCGATCATAATTTTAGTGCAAGCACTATCAATTATGTATTCCATATCATCACATAATCTCAAGAATACAGTAGAATTAGAAGAAATCGAAGTATTATCTAAATGTTTTACTTGAGAATTTTCTTTTTCCTACGTTACAAAAAAGAGAAAAGTTTATTAAAAATGCTTCTTTTTATTATTATTATTTAGAAATACATATATATTACAAAAAATTTTCGGTGACTTAATAATTGTCCAACCAAGGCTTGGGTAGAGTTAGGTACTTGTTTAGCTGGTGGCTGCGGTGGACGACTCATTTTAAACTAAATTTATCCAGTAATAAAAAATGTTTGCAAATGGGTTTATATTTATATTAAGTTTTTTTTTTGAAACTCCGATGAGTCCGATTATGTAGCCAAGAATGACGTAACCGGTTACCCATTGGGCCTTGGCGTAGTATTAAAATAAGATAGAAAAAGGAGAAGAAGAGTACTATACCAAGTTAGAATATCACCGAACTGCGAATTTTTTTAACATAACTATGTTATCAATAAGCTATTTATTTGGCTGTATAATAAATGGTTTTATTAATAATAAATCAACAATACATCTATTTATATATATGAAAATAAAAATTTTTAAATCAATAGTTGATAAGGAATCTAAACTAGAAACGACCTTCATAATAACTATCAGATTGACCACCCTGACCACCTTCATGTTGTTGTGGTGGAGGAGGATATTGTTCACCTTGACCACCTTGGACTCCATGGTGTTGTTGTTGTGGTGGTGGTGGTGGTGGTGGATATTGACCATCCTGACCACCGGGTGGAGGAGGATAATAAGGAGTGTCAGCTGGTGGTGCATATTCACCATATTGATATCTAAAATGAACTGAGGGTGACTGGGGAGGAGGATATTTATCATTACTTGTACTTAATTTACCACCTCCTTCGGCAGAAATTTTTTCTGTCAATTTTTTCTTTTTGTAATGTTTAAATGTAGCAAATCCTATTAAACCAAGAACCACTAGAGCTATACCACCTACTAATCCCCATTTATATTTTGGTGAAATTCCGGATGATATTTGCCTGCACAAAGAAAGTATGTTAAGTTCGCCTTTTTTAAAGTAAACATTTTAAAAGGAAAATACTTACATGGTTTGAGTGAAAGTGACACCGATTTTTTCACATTGTTTCTTATATTCTTCTTCAGGTGAAACTTTAAATTCTGTTCCTGTAGCATTAACAAAACATTCTAAACATTTCGATAACGTATCATAATATGGTTGATTACACATACATTTAGCTAAACTGCGTTCTAAGGAAAGGTAAGAATTATTAATACGAAAGAAAGAAAAAAAAAAAAATCAATAAATTTGATTTTAACTTACCTTCTACTTTGTAAACACCAGATCGAATATTCTCCTCAATGTATTTATCAGGAGTTTTAATAAGTCCATTACATAATTTTAAAGTATCATTAGCGCTAATACATGTAGTGTCTTTTATGCAACTTTCTACAGCATTTTCAGTACCTTCAGTTGATGATGGTATTGTTTTAGCTTCACCACTAACTGTTGGACTTGCTCCATTCTCTTGTGCAATTACCACATTTACTACTAAGTTTAATAATATTATAAAATATATAATTACATTATATTTCTTTAATGTCATTGTCATTTTTCAAAAACTAATATTCGCTACTCTTTTAGTTAGGACCGTTTACACAAAAAAGATTATTTTATTCTCGTTTTCAAGTAAATAATTAAATAATTTACTTAAAAAACTGATTATATTTTTATTTATTCTTAGAATAAGATAGAAATGGCTTATTTCTTTTAAAAAATTTTATTATTTTTTGTATTTTTATTTATTTTTTTATATCGTTAAAAAAAAATAGAAGGAAAAGTTCAATTTAGTTTTTTTTTTTTAAAAAAAAAATTCTCAAATGTAATATATATATATATATACTTTCCTGTTTCAATGTATATAATATTTTTGGCTTATCACCAAGCATGAGCGGATCTATTTACAAAACAAAATTTATTGCACGGCCACAATCGGATACGTAACAATTTAAACGCGAAACAAATTTGAATATGTAATACAAAATAAATTAAAATAAAATTTAAAAAAGAAAAAGCCACGCAGATAATACGGTATAAAAAAGCCTCCTTTTTTAACTAAAAAGATCTTCTATTATCCGTAAAAGGCAAAACAGGCATAGATCGATTTATCCTAAAAGTTCAATTCCTAATCACCGATCAAGTTTTGAACAAATAATAATAATAACAACGATAACAACGATATGATGCGCAGCGTTTATTTTAAAATATATAAATAAAGTTCAATCAAATTTAACCATATTATAAATATCTTATATACTGATCTACACCATTCGGTAAATGGACTCCGACTGATTATTTATTAATTATTAAATTATTATTATTATCAATAATAACATTCATATCGTATAACAAGGTCATTTAGAGCTGTATGTGAGATTACAATAATGGCAACACAAGAAAAACAATGGTTAAGTTCATAAATAAAATTATTGGTATACGCATGGAAAATTCTTCAAAGATAAACAAACGATGAATCTGTATTCTGTAAACAAAAAATATCGTACCGACGTACCGTATGTACCGTACCCGTTGTACCATCTCTTTTGCCATTATCACATGACTTGTACGACAAAAATTGATTAAAAAAGAGGGGGAAAACCCAAACAATTCATCCCACGTGTTCCGTTACTCCCGGATCTTTCGAGTGAGCAATTGGATTGCAATTTGCAAATGCAATTTTATTTAGTGGACAAGCACAGTGGCTTCGAAAGTAAGATGTAAACCACACGGAAAAAGTGACAATACTGATAATGATAAATCTTTCATTTCGCTAAGCCCATACGAAATCAAGATAGTCTTTGACTGTGAATAAATATTTCACCGTGGATTTTGTCAAGTTTCCATGGTTGTTTGTTGGTTGATATGCTTACGGTCTACCTTAAGCTGTTTGACGGTCAATATTTAAGGCCGAAAAATGAGTATGGTTGGAACAAATTCATTTAAATGCATTCCTAACTTAAATTGGTTAATTATCTCGAATACTCTAACCTAGTTAGGTTTGAATTGTTTATGATCGGGAGCAACATAATGCATCAAAAAATTATTTTGACATGTAATATGAATAAATAAATAATAGAAATTCCCCTCCCAATATTTATTATTATTAATTCGGGCCCATTTCTCTAAATAAAGAATGAAGTTCATACATTTAAATTAACTTGAACCTATTATTTATTCATTCATTAATTTTAATAAAGTCCGTTAATTCCAAATAAAGGATTTATTTAATAAAGTCCTTATAACTTGAAACTATACTTTTCCTAAGTTTCAACTCATAATAAAAGTTTGTACTACATTTGTTTTATTATTCTATTATTCTATCACCTTCCTTAACTTATAACTTAATATCAGACCATTTCTGTGCTTCGTAAATTTTTAATAATTATATATGCAGATATTAATGATTAATTAATTTAAAATTTTATCCTCCTTAATAAAAATACATATTTGGAATATTTTAATTTCGGTTTGTTAAAAAGAAAGTTCTTTTAATTTACTTAATTTACAATCCAGTAAATATCCGGTTAATCGTGGTTCACAAGTTGGACCAATTGGATGACTCAAGCCACATTTGCCACATTTCATGTTAATGTATGTGGTTTTACAGTCCATGTATTTTACATGGTAAAAGTAATTCTCCAAAGTTACCGTTAGCAATGCGATCTTAACAATTAAATGTAAAATCTATTATTACTATAAGGGTACTGTCAGATATTACCTAATATTTTAGGGGGAAAGGGGATCTTAGGTTATATATAATATTATATAAGGAATTATATATATAACATATCTGGGGGTAAGCTCTTATATTAAAGTGATATTAGGTAATATCTTGACAGTACCCTAACCATAACTACAAATACTATAGTGTTATTACATACGAGAGACGGAGAGATCCCATCCCTCTCTCTATTCTCTTTAAATATGAAAAGGTTCTCAAAAAACAAAATTTTAAATTATGATCCTTGAATTAATATCATAATTCTTTAATTAACTGAAGTGACCTGACACAGTCATTACGTATTGATTTTTAATTAAAAGAAATAAAATAAAATACTTAATATGTTTGTAAATATAGAGAATTATCAGTCCTAAATCCTAATCCTTTTATTATATATTACTTTTTTGTACAACTTATTTTTCCCAATACAGTTTGATCTACATTTTGTGTCACGGAAGTAAATTATTATTTAAACAAAAAATATTGATGAATTCAATTTATCTTTTTCGTGCAAAGTAAAAAAGATGAAGTATAATCAATCAAATGGAGTGATAAATTCACCTGCTATACCATCAATATCTATAATGTTTTTTGCATATAATTTGGTAAATTTTTTTTGATGAATTTTTATAGACTTTTATTTTCAAATTATGTTAGTTATTCATATTGAGAATGTGAATGTTTTTTTTAAAAAAAAAAGTATATTTTTTTTAAAGGTACAAACTAGACCCGTTATGACAGATGATATGGCAGTCGAATATTTAGAGAAATTGCAACATATTCAGGTATCTACATTTCTTCTTTATTAAAAAAAAGTTATTTTTCAATCAATATAATAATTCAACTTTTTAACATAATTCGAAAAATTAATACTAAACATAGGTTTCTTGTGATCATGAATTTTATGTAGAATTATGGATGTCAGCATTAACAGGATTAGCTGAAGAATGTGATAAAACATCAACAGGAAGGGTACAACACACATTATTATGGAAAAGTTTTGTATTAGTTAAATTACCTTCATTAATTGAAAAGTTAGAATTAAAAAAATCTAATAAATTTAAAAATGGTAATTTATTATATTCTGAAGAAAATAAGGTAAAGTAGTAAAATGTGGCTTCTCAAAAAAATTTTGTCTTTATTCAATAATAATGAGAAATGAATTTTTGTAGTATGATTGTCATGAATGTGTTATAAATCAATTATTTGGGTTTAAAGGTTTAATTAATGCATGTAATCAACTTGTGGAAGATGACATATTCCAGTAAGAATTTAATATCTTCAAATAAATTATATATATATGTATGCATTAATTGTTATTTTATCGTATTTGTTTAATTTAGAGCTGCAGATATAACAGTTGATATATTGAGAGTATGTTTAAATAGAAAGTTAGTAAGAAAAGAATTTGTTAATAGGTTTTTAGAACTTGAATATGAAATAGATGGGGGAGATACAGTTGGATTAACAGCAGGAAATATATTAGATGATCCAAGTAGACAAATTATTGATCATTTAGTATCAACCGCCACAACAAGTTTTTTACATCAAGAATCTCGAGTTGAGACGATATTTAAGGTACGATATTATTAAAAGATTAAAAGGTTTTAAAAAAACATATATTTTCTTAATTCGACTTATTTTTTTATAGTTAATGAGTGAATGGAGTACAAAACTAGAAGTGGCTCCATTAGCTACACTTTGTCGATCTCTTATGGATGTTCCTACATTGCTTGATATTATTCATTTATATCGGCATCCTTCAGAATTTATTTCATCTTTAGAAAGATTATGTAATACATGGGTAAGCAAGGCAGATTCAAAGGGTATGTATAAATAATTCATTATAGATTTTTCATATATTTATTTATTAATCTTTTACTTTTTTAGAGTCCCTCCTTCATGATTATGAAAATTTCGGGACAATATTCTTATTTCTAATTAGTGTGATTGATAGATATGAGGTAAAAAAATCAAAAACTTTGAATTTTCAATTTGATTTACAAAATTTTATTAAAAAGAAATTTTTTTCTTTTTCATTTTATAGTTTCATAAAAATATTAAAGATGTTCTTCATGATGATGAAGGATTTTGTTATAAATGGCTTATACAATCAGGAAGTACATATGATATAGATTCACTTGATCAGGAAAAAAGCATAATAACAAGATTGGTTTCGACATTATCTGATGCAAGTCAAGAAATCCCCGAAGATTTGATTCGGTAATAAAAAATTTTTTTTTTACATTCGATTTCATTTCAATTTTATTACTATTATTGTTATTTATAATTTTAATATATTATTTTCCTAATTAGGATTAGTCCAAGAAGTTTGATAGAATTATCACCAACAATATTTAAAGAAGCATTAAAAAAAGTAGTAACGGAAGACATAGAAATTGCAATGATAAATCTTGAACCATTATTCACACATTTTGTTAAACCACACATGTCATATGCCTTAATTGGTGTATGTCAATCGCTATGTGATGATATTTTGTTTAAAGGGTAAATATAAGTTTAATTTTATTAAGGACCTGTTTTTTTTTAAAAAAAAAAAGTGAAAAGTGAGATTTTTTTTTTTTTTAGAAAATCTTCAATTTCATTTAAAGTATTAAACAGATTAATACTAGAAGAAGCATTTCCAAATTCAATTATAAAATTGATTGGAAATAAATTATTATCAATATTTGATATTATATCAGAAAATGGCAGCTTACCAAGTATAGAAGATACGGAAAATATTATACGTAATAAGATAGCAAAAATAATGATGGTTCCAAGTAATAATTCTTTTTATTTTTTTTTTATACTCTATATTGTGTTTTATTTTCTAATTCCTCTTTTTTTGTAATTTTAGATTGGAGAAATACAAAACATCCAGCAGAAAAGTTATATTATAGATTTAAAATGATGTTTAAATCGATAATATACGGAGGAAGACATAAACCTTCTTTAATTTATGAAATATTTTTATCAGAAAATTATTTTAATAATGATATTAATACAGAGTATGAATATATCACAGGAAATGGTGGAGCGGCTAATAATTTGTTTGATGAATTTATTATAAATCCATCTTCTTGGTTGGGACCACATCATTTAGATATTGAGTTATTTAGGAATTGTTTAGAAATTAACGGCCCTAGGACCTTTGTTGATCTTATTGTTGAGGTGTGTGAAGAATTTTAAGTTTTTATTTTAATCAAATAAAAAATGATCTTAAATTAATATTATTATATATATATAATTCTACAGGAGGTGTTGTCTGCCGGTAAGAAAGGAATGGGAATACGTGCGGGTAATTACAAAATCTTGCTTTCATATTATTGCTAATTTTTCTTCTGATCGCATTAACTTAAAACGATAACCTTTCCATTTTTTTTAGCCGAGTTAGGGGCATCTTTGTTAACATTACCAATATATTATACTTGGAATGAATATTTACATCCTAAAACACTTATAAAAATATTTTTTATGGATTTTTTACCGTCAATATTAGAAAAAAAGATTGATATGTACACACAAAGTTATTCTATAGGCATTATGACTTTATCCATTTTAATGATGATTAAAAAAGATACTCAGAATGTAGGTGGAGTTGATGTTAGTATTGATGAAATTGTTGGCATCAATAATAATGTTGATGGCACTAATGATATTCTTATGATGGATGCTATCATTTCGGAAGAGAGAATAGGGGGTATGGAAGGAGTAGGTGGAACAAAAGTTGAAATTGAAGACTTTACCAAATTTGTTTTATCTATATTTAAACAAGATAGGGATAATGCTGATAGTGATAATATTGATAGTAAAGTAATTCAGAATGGATCAAAAAAGATTGATGATAAGGTAAAAAATGAGAGTGAACCTAAATTAATCAATGGACCCGCAAAAGGATTTATTGATGCTTTATTAATACATGAAGATATTGTACCAGAATTAAAATCTTTAGTTAATAAATGAAATATTGATTGTATGAATTACATGGATATTTTCTTATGAATTTTATATTGTATTTAGATTCTAGTTTAAAAGTTATTATTAAACTCAAAAGCTTAATAAAGTACCCTTTAATACCTTTGATGTAAAATTCCAACATTTTGCTAAATTAATTATGTCAATTAAGAAATAAAATTATTTTTGTTTCTTTTTTTTGTAAAATTGGAAAATGGTTTATCTATAATATGTAAAATTATAAAAATGCATTTAAATTATTATTATAAATAATTTAAAATAAATAATATATTGTATTATTACTATTATATTATCAATAAAGCTTAATAAATTTTATATTAAACTATATTTTATAGTAACAAACTATTATAATTTTAAATTTCAAATAGTTTTTACAACTTATATTATAATATAATGTATTTACTTATTTATAATAAAAAAATGCATAAAAATATAAGTTAATTATAAATATAATATATATTTATCTTTTAAATTAAAAAATAACAGCCAATTATTTGGCCATTTTCCAGTAGAAGTTACTAAAGAAAAAGTTTAACTTTTTTTATTCAAATAGTTGTAAAGTGCTTTTAGTAGTTTTTAAAGACTTCAAGAGAATTCTTTTAAAATTTAAATAAACCTTAAACTCTCTTAATTTTGGTAAAGTTACTTAATTTGAAACAGTTCTTATTAAAAATATTTTTACTTCTGTGAAACTTTTCTTTCACTGAATTTCTAAAAGTTGTAATAATTACATACTGGATGGCTGGACTTTGAATTCTACACTAGTGTAAAGTTTTCCATTAGTTTCTTTATTTTTGAAAGCGTTACAAAAATCTTTTTATGAAGTACCAGTTAAAGTAGGAATAATCATTTGGAAAGTAGGCTTCTTCTTTATTATCAGTTGATATTTAAAAGGTAGTAATAATAAATGGCAATTTGGGATTTCTTTCTTTTTTTTACTTGATTTTTTCCTTTAGATTTTCTAAGGATTATAACTTTTCTTTTTATTTTTTAGTTTTTTTTTTCCTAAAATTTTGGTGTTTTTACTCTTAGTTTTTTTTTTAAAAGAACTGGAATACTGAAATGTTGATTATCTAAGCTGAAAATTTAATATTATTTATATTACCTAATTTTTTTGGATTTATATAAATTGGTCTATTAAAGAAACTAATAGGATTAATGGATTTTAATTTTTAATTTTTATTAATTTAAATTAATTAATAGAAAAATCATCAAAAAAATATTAGATAATTTAAAAGCATAAATGATTGGATCTGGTATATCTACTTGGAATTAGATGAGTCATTCTACAATAAACTAGCTTTTAAATAAAAAAAATTTTTTGAATGATTTTATCAGAAATTTATAAACTTTCATGCAATATGAAAATTACTAAGCATTTTAAAGAAATCTGGTAATTTATTATAGTCTTATATATATATATAAGGTTTCAAATAGAATAATAAGTAATTTATTTTGTCCTAAAAGTTTAGTTTAGTTGCTTTTATATTTACAATTATACTTTCTTTACTTTACTTAATAAATATGTAGCGATTAATAAAAAAAATAAAAAATAAAAAATAACTATAATCCTTTTTTTTATCAAGTTTTTTTAATTAATAGAAATTTATTATTATAAATTAGACTATTAATACTAATAATTATTATTTTATCAAAACTGATACAGTAAATTTAATAATACTTTATAAATATTACAAATTGGTAATTATTATATTATTTAAAAAATATTTACATATTATATAGTTTTAAAATTAAACAATTTTTTATTATAAAATTGATTTTTTATTAAATATTTTAATTATAAAATTATAAATTGAAATCACCAATAGTGATGATCATTAGTAGTAAAATTATAATATAATACTAACCAGTTTTTTATTAGATTTTTAATTCTAGTTGAAAGTATATCATAATACTGATATAGTAATTATTGCTATCAGTAAACTTTGAATATTAACTTGTTTTCATATTTTTACAACTTGTTATTTTCTTTATAAAAATATTTAAAATTAATTTAATAATATTAAATATTTTTCTATTATATTTATTAAGAATTATTTATTTTTTAAAATTATAAATAATTAAAAAATTACTTTTTTTAAAAGAAAATTAGTGTAATTTTAAAAGATTTTTACTTTAAATCATCAGAAGTGATCATCACCATCGACTAGAATTATTAAATTTTACTGGTACTATATTTTTTAATGCTAGTCAATTATTATAATTTCAGTAATACTAGTAATTATCACTTATAATAATTAGAAAAATTTAAAATTATATAATATATATAAGATAAAGTATAAATTTTAAATCTAATACAATTAAATTAAAATTAATTTTTTAATTCAAAATTTATTTTTATACATGTATAGTATTAAAGGGTTTTAAAAAATCTATATAAAAACTATTGTACTATGGTGAGTGAAAGTCTTTTCTAAACATTTTTCTTGTAATTTATTACTTCTAATGAAACTTGATTTGTTGATTATTTTTTATTCAATAATCATAATAAAATATTTATCATTAGAATATATATATTGTTCAAATTATTTTAGGCTGCTGTAATTATAAGTAAAATCCCAAATTCAATTACAGCATCTCAAATTATTTTAGCACTTTACATAGTAAATTATATATAGTAAATTAAATGAATTATGACATCTCAAATTATAATTATGGCATTCTAAAATAATTTAAATAACATATATATATTAGAAAAAGAAGAAATTTTACATGTTTTTATATAAATATATTGTACTTTTTATTATTTTTTAATTTTTTTGATTACATAATGATATGTTAAAAATTGTATTTTTTTCAAAAATGAATTTAATAAAATAATTATAAATTATGTGATACAATCATACAATAAAAATCATTTTCAGTAAGCATTAAAATAATCTTAATTATAATTATTATTTTTAAATTTATTTTTAAATTTTAATATTTTTTAATAATAAAAAAAATTAAATTACTTTTAAAATTATTTTAAAATTTATATTTTATTTTATAATTTTATTTGCTAAATAATTTGGTAATAGCTTTTTAAATTTTATATTTTTTTTTATTACTTGCAATAGGATTCCATTTACTATTAAAATAGGTTATACTATAATCTAAGGTAAGGTTTATATATAAAACTCTTTAAAGATCCTACTATAAAAGAAAATTTTATGTTATATTATTATGTTTTTTTCCATTTTAATTAATTAACCAATAAAATTTAAGCAAATCTTAAGGTAAAGTTTCATATAAAAGTGAAATTTCTACCAGTAATATATCTTAATAGTAGATGGAACTTATGATAAAGATAGAGATCCAAATAACTTTACCATTTGGCATAAATCATATAAATGGGGTCTTTGCAATAGAAAGGTATGAAACTCAAAAAAAAATTTTAATTTTACTTTATATGCTAATTATGTTTTTTTTTACTGAAATAAATGCAAATTTAATATTAATTCAATTTTTGATATTTTTTGAGTTTTGTACTTTTCTATTGCAAAGACCCCAAATGCTCATCAAATAGTTGTTATGAAACTTAAAAAGTAGTTGATCATACATTATACTGATTACATAGAACTATTATAGTTGTAGCTGAAATTAATTTCATAATAAGGAATTATGTATTTCTTAATTGCTGTAAATATTTCAAAATATTTGTCCAATTTTATGAAATACGTAATTAATTACAGAAATGCGTAAATAATTACAAAAAATATGTAATTAATTATAAATTTTGCATATTACACAGATAAACCAATAGTTAACTTGCATGATACTACAAAATTGATACAGTCAACTCTCTTTATAGTCACACATTTGGAACAGTCCATATTTGGTGATTATAAAGAGATGTGACTATATAAAAAATTTCTTATATTTGTATACCATAATTCCGGCCAAAAATTAACATAATTTTAGCCAGAATTATACTTAAAACTTTATTGTATCGTAACTTCGCCAATATTAATCTTAGAGAGATTATCTTACCGCCATTCGATTCGTCTTTATAAGACGGTTCTAATGGTATAAAATACGTCGAAATCCAATCACTAGATTAATTTCCGAAATTAAAAAAATATTAATGGTTTTTGTGTAATAACTCTGTCAATATTGATCCTAGAAAGACGATCTTACTACTACCATTCGATTCGTCTTGATGAGACGAATCTAATGGTATAAGATACATTGAAATCCAATCACTAGATCAATTTCTGAAATTAAAAAATATTAAATGGTTTTTAAGTAATAACTCCGTTAATATTGATCACAGAGAGATGAGCTTACCATTATTCGATTCGTCTCGATGAGGCGATTCCAACGAGCTATAAATCGTCTTTTTACAATCACTAGGTACCGAGAAATCTAGCAAAATGTTAAATGGCGCAGTAAACGTAAATCAAGAAATATTATAATGCTGATGTTTAACATTTTGTTGAATAACTCGTCAGCCAGTGATCGGAAAAGGATAAAACTGAAAAGGATAAAACTAACTCTCTCCCGTTGCCCTCACGACATTATTTACATATAATAAAAATAATTTTTTCTAAAGTTTTTTATTACCTTTTCTTTTATTTTTATCCTTCCTATTTTTATCTAGGCCTATGGCCTCTTCTCACGACTTCTCAACTTTGAGTTGGGATGAAGTTCTTTCTAAACTTCGCGAAGTTGAGGACCTTTGCGCTAAGTGCGCCCTTAAACAAGAAGTTCTTTTTGCTCGTTTCAACTCTCTTCCTGACAACTCTTCTGCCAAGTCACGTGCTTACCTCGCTTTTGGCCCCCTTCGCCTACTAGACGACTCTCTTTCTGAACAAAAACGCCTTTTACACTTACGTTTGACCTCTCTTTCGTCTACTGCGGATTCAAAAAAGGATTTCGCTATCCCCCCTGTTGACGATCATCCATCACATGATGATCCAATGAATGATGATCTACCTCCTCTTCCATTAGCTATTTGGGCTTCTAAACACGAGGCTGATCCTAATTTCATCTTAGATTTATGTACCCCTTCTATGCGATGCACTAATAGTTTACGCCCTCCACGGTGTACTCCTAAATTTCTTTGTAAACGCGTATCCTCTATGATTTCCCCTGCATCCTTTAAACGCGCACAGAAAATTAAGACAAAATTGTCTTTTGCGCGTTTGGTTTTATCCTCTTCTACAATACGTTTATTGGTTCCACCTTTATCACGTCCTTCCCAACCTAAAAGTCCCTTTCAAAATGAATTCCTAGACTCCTCTCTCATAACTCCCCATATTTCAGCTCTAGTAGATACCGCTGATAATGACAATAACGTTCCTCCTCCGGTCCTTTCTCTAAATAGTATACCTGCGGGATCTTCATCTGCAACTTCTGCTTCAGCCCCCCTTCATGATAATGTACAGTGTTTATCTTACACTTTCACAATACGTACCATCCTGGATGGATGGATACGTCCTGCTCGAAATATTGGCTCTAATCGTTTATATTCTATTCGACGAGGCAACTGTTACTTCCTTTTGGACCCCACTCCTGATTCGGATAATTGTTATTCGATTCATACCAATTCTCCTCTCCTTTCAACTACTGAGCCATTTCAATTTACATCTGATCGTCCTTCTCCTAATTTGAAATTTATTTTATCAAAATTTTTAACCTTTTTCTTTTACCGACAAAACCGTATTCCCTCGCATGCTCGACGTAAATATTTTAATAGATTACGCCAGCTTTTATTAACACAACGTGTTACCTCTCTTGCCCGTTGGTCATCTTCTCATCGTAATAATAGACGTACTCGTACCTTTATTCAATTTCGATATCATCAATCTTGCTTTTACCTTGGCCTTTAT